ATTCAACCGCTGCTGTTGTTTTTCCATTTCCTTAAAAACGTTTTCACCACTTTAATCAAATGATAAAATGTTTTTATGCTCATTTGTTTTTGAAAGCCACACATGCCTGCCAATGTCCTGTGTGTTGGAAATTGTGTAGCCTGGTTTGCTGAACATTTATGGTCTTTCCCAGCATCGCCAAGCTTCTCTTTCATAATGTAACCCAGTTCTCATTTGGGGGCTGAGTGTGGCAACCAGACATCTTAGTTTTGCTCAAGGGCACCTTGTCCAGGGTGGGGAGAGTGTCACCTGATTAGGGTAATGTAAAGCAATAAAATAGTGCTACACTATAGACACATTTTAGGGTTGTATTCATTTGGCTGTGTTTTTCTCTGTGTAGGTATTTGGGTATCACTAAGCCTCTGACTTATCCTGTCCGGCAAAACGGCTGCTGCATGGCCAAGATGATCCTGTCGGTGTGGCTCCTCTCTGCTTCCATCACCCTCCCCCCTCTGTTCGGCTGGGCGCAGAACGTTAATGACGGCAGGGTCTGTCTCATCAGCCAGGACTTTGGATACACTGTCTACTCTACAGCCGTGGCCTTCTACATCCCCATGTCGGTGATGCTGATCATGTACTACAGGATCTACCGAGCGGCCAAGCTCAGCGCAGCCAAGCACACCATCACTGGCTTCCCCAGGGAAGGGGAGCACCGAGCAGTGGTGACTCTTCGCGGGGGGAGAGGAGGGCATCAGCCAGCAGAGTCGGGAGAGACGGGAAGCGTCGAGGGGACGGAGGTCGAACAGGTGGAGGAAGCCGAGGAAGAGGAGAGCTTGGACTGCGTGGCAGCGGCGCTGAAGCTCCAGCGTGAGGTGGAGGAGGAGTGCAGCACGCGTGTCTCCCGCCTTCTCAAAACTGGCGAGCACCACCAACGGCGGAAGAGGAAAAACCAGTCCATCTTCAAACGAGAGCAGAAGGCTGCAGCCACTCTGGGCATCGTAGTTGGTGCCTTCACCTTCTGCTGGCTGCCGTTCTTCCTGGTGTCCACTGCCAGGCCGTTCGTCTGTGGCGTGCAGTGCAGCTGCGTGCCGCTCTGGCTGGAAAGGACTCTGTTGTGGCTCGGCTATGCCAACTCCCTCATTAATCCTTTCATTTATGCATTCTTCAACCGGGATCTGAGAACCACCTACAGCAACCTCCTGCGCTGCCGCTACAGGAACATCAATCGGAAGTTGTCGGCGGCTGGCATGCACGAGGCTCTAAAACTGGTGGAGAAACCAGACGCTGACGCGTAAAGCTGGAGGTCTGCCAATCAGCAAGGCAGCAGAGACCAGTATGGAAAATAATCAACTGGGGCTCAGACTGTGGCACGAGGCCATTGTGCTGACGGACCTTTTTACCCTCCAGATTTCATGAGGATTGCCAAGGCGAGAGGAGGAAAGATGCTGCGATTAAGTGGATGTAAAGGAAGTCTAAGTGTTTCACTCTGGAGAAAACTGAGAGAAAACGGAGCTCAGTGGTGTTGAATTCATACTGTTTAATTAGCGGCATCTGTTGCAATGATTCTGAAGCCCACGAGGAAGGGCTACCTTGGTGGATTTGAAACTGGCTGCTATGTTGCTGAGAAGCCTTTTGAACATGACATTGATGCAAAAGCAGGAGCTACACACCCAGACTTTGATCTCAGCTCCTGTCATGGATGGAAATGATCTCACTCAGTAGCCAGTGACTTACATTTCCATTTCTGACCCCAGGAAAACTAACAATGAGAAAATAACGAACGACTCGGAGCTCAACCGCTACCAAATGTGTTTACTTTGCATCGCAGTTATCACTTTTCTAAAACGTAGAGTGTTTCGTTGGTGAACAGGCGTAACAAGTGGACGCGGTAATGAATAAAAAGTATGTAAAAATGTATGTACACAAGTCGATAGCCACGCTGTTTTTGTAACAAATGGTTCTGATCTGTTGTAATGAGGTGATATCGTTTGAAGATGAGCCAAAACGTGCTCCCTTTCCTTCTACTCGTGTCATGACCACCTCTTTAATGAAAACTATTTACTGATCATTTATTTCTGTAATATGGCAGCTAATTAACGAGCAAGCAAGGACTCTTAGGGACGAGAAAATGACGTGAAAATGATGTCGACACGGAGCTGAAGGCGGAGTAGAGTGAAACATCATTGAAGACGCTTTCTGAATGTGCCTGTGCCTTTTTCTGCTTTGTTGGCTAAGGTTTGGTTGCAGCACACAAGAGTCTCGCTTTACACTGTGTGCAACTTTAGCCTTGTTGTGCGTTACATAACAAAAGAAATGGCCAATAAAATGGGCAGTATCCTCTCAAACACAGATGAATGATGGGCAGACAGGATCTAATCTTTTGACATGACACGCACCAAAAATTATTTTCACAGTTAATTTAACAATTGACTCATTTTAGGACTAAAGTTCGGTCTCAAGTGGGTCTAAAACAGTAAAATCACAGTTTCATGTTCAATCTACAGTCATCAAAAAAATACCCCGTGTACCAGTTTCATTTTGATAAATTATGTTTCCATTCTTTATAATATATAAAAATCTTAACATTAATATATTATATGGACATCTTTTTAGGACAAATCCAGGATCAGGATTTGTCCTGCTGCTGGGAAACACCTCTGACCCATAACTGGCGTCTCCTTTGAAGTCAAATATTGTTTAACTCCAGCTGATGCTCAAAACTCTATGAGGTCATATTTTTCCAACTGGGCCCAGCTGGAAATTAGATCTCACGTCACAGAAATTTCTTGTAATTCATCCAGCTGAACAGCAGGGGGCACCAGTGAGACAATCCTCAATGAGCAGCAGTGAATGGAGCTAAACAATTAAAATCATGATTTATGTTTGCTTCCAGGGAATAAATACATAAACTGATTCTGTTTCCTGTTTGAAGTAAAATACGGAGCCCCGCAGGGGACATGGGAGAAAAAAAAAATTAAGAGATCTCGCAAAACAAACTCGGGATCTCGCAAAACTTTTGCGAGAATCTCGCAAAACTTTTAGCCACATCCTTCGGAGGCCGCCAGCTCGAAGCCGACCGGGAGGTCGAGGCACGATGTGCCGGGAAAGCGGTGTTCCTCCCGGCTGTAGTAAGTCTCGACCTCCCGTTAGCTTTGAGCTAGTGGGTGTCAGATCTCCAAAAACACCGCCATTGTTGGAATTCAACTTTTGCGAGATCCTGAGTTTGTTTTGAGAGATCTCGCAAAAGTCCGTCTTAATTTTTTTTCTCCCATGTCCCCTGCGGGGCTCCGTAGTAAAACAACAGTTATGTTAATTTTTTTTCTAACATAGAGGTCAGGTTAGCTTATAAATGCTAGCATCCCGCTAATCAGTGCCATTAGTTGATTAAGAATTTTACCATGGGACCAGTACACCCTTACTGGCACCTTTGTCCAAATGATAACTAAACATTAGACGTTAAACCACGACAGCAGTTTCAGTGTGTGTGTGGGAAGCAGCTGGTTGTGGCGGGTGAAGGCGATGCTAGGAGCCTGCTGCCTGCAACAAGTCACACAAAATGATTTAATGACGATGAAAACTCATGGTCTTAACCATTTCTATATAACGATGTTGGAATTTCCACGTAGCCCTGTTCATTCTGGATTCGATTATTCAAATTCAATCGAGTTATCGTCATCAAAGCTGACAAAAGCATGGACGAAGCGTAAATACGCCTTTTTTTTTTCTAAAGATTTGTTAGATGTGATCATTTATTAGGATCTGTACCACCAGTGTTAATTAAATGACCTCCAATATGTTGGGCTGCCATGCTGTTAATCTTCTCACCTCTTGTTCTTATGGAGTTTCATGTGATCACAGACAATTACGCAGCTGTTATTCCCGTGTAGCTCTGTCTCAGGCTACAGGGCGACGCCCGGGAGGAAATCTGATGTGGATGTTAAAGGAGAGAGAGCAGATCACAGCGGCTGCTTCGTTGGTGTGTTTAATCTCCCCAGAGATCGAGAGCCTGTCTGCTTGGAGTTTAATTTAAAGTTAAAAGTACAAGTTTAGCTCAGGGGGAGTGATAAAGTGCACAGAGCTTTTGTATGTGCACAAGTTTTAGTGCAGCATCCTGCATGCACCAAGCAGCTGCAACATCATGTTGACAGGAACTCTGGAAACTTGCTTGCTTGGTTTCTTTCTGGCAACATTATTTTCTTTGTGTTCTCTTTAACATGCACTGACACGAGTAGGAGAAAAGTGTTACCTCTTATTCCACAAGGACTGCAGTAATGTTTTTAATCCTTTGAGGAGACTTTGTGTTTTACAAGTATTAGTACACTCGAAATAACTTGAAATTGTACAACAGCTAACTTAGCAGGAGCAACAGAGGGCACTCAGTCAGTTTTACCAAAATCTCTTTTTGCTAAAGAAGTGTGAACACTGCAATTACCGCCTTTATTCTCCGTTGAAACGTTAATTAAAGCTGCTCTCCACAAGATTATTTTTAAATTAAAAAAATGCGCTAAGCTACTGAGCCTTAATTACTGAGTTAGCACGGCAGCAGAGATGATACAGAGAAGCCAGCAAGACAAACTCTGCTGTCTGCCCGACAACAGAAAGTTCACTCAGAGTAAAACTTCTCTAGATTCTAGATTTTAGATTTGTTTTCAAGTATCAAGTGTGAATAAACATCATAATGAAACACAGGAGTGGGCGATATATATTTTCCCAAGGGTCACAACGGAAACCAGAACCTTTTTCTGCAGCCCTCCACAACAGTCCAAGTTGGAAAAATGAATTGCCTGCCCCTGGTATAGAACATCAGCTATAATAGGTAAATCCATCTTTTTCAGTCACACTTCAGGGCTCTGCCCAGTCACGCCTTTGCCATGTGACTAAGGGAATTAGTTATTTGTGGGGAGGTGAGCTGAAAAGGTTGAGAACCACTGAACTGTACTCTTCTGGGCTCAGTGCCGCCGTGGCACGGCTCCATTTCCCGTCGTAGAATAGATGGAGAATGGTTGCCAGGAGCACAGGAGCACATTTTTCCTGAAGAGCATCCAAAAACTGTTATCATTCACATGCAACACTCAAACTATCTGTTGTTATCTTGGTAAATGGCCTGTATTTGTATAGCGCTTTTTATTAGTCCAACATTGACAACGTCTCGTGAAAATATTCTCAGTGGCGTGTCAACACTTTGGTGCGAGATAGGAAGGGAACGACTGCACAGCTACAGGCTGAAAAATAGTTTGTATGACATCCAGAGGAGAGAGGAGACACGCTAAAAGGTAAATGGGCGGTAGAGGCACACCCCGGCATTCAGCGGCTGTCGCCTGCATCTCAGAATGTGACTGAATGCTCGCCTCTTTCATCAAACTAGTCATCTTCCCGCACGAGAGCACTGCACTGAACCGGAGCTAATTTTAAAGAAATTGAGAGCCTGCGTCACAACAAGTAGATTTATGGATTTTTTTCAGTGCGGGAACGCGAACCCTCCAACTAAGCGTGCACCAGCAGTTCCCACAATAGTCAAAAAATGACTCTTGGCTCGGCGCGGTCACATGGTTTCTAAAGAATCTATGAAAAGATGGGGAATGTGGAGATATCAGCTGCAGCTAAATTTACGCATCAACCACAGATGTGATTGTTTAAAGGCAGATGTTTTATTGCCATGTACTCCTCACTGTACACTGAGAACACTCTGAGAAAATGACTGTTAACTGTAACTGCAGAGAAACTGTGACACTTCAGTAAGGATAATAAATAGATCAACATTTAAGGCGTACGGCTGGAGGTGACTTAAATTACCTGCTGTCTCTTGCTAATAGCTGCTTTAGAAGCCAGATGTTTGGAAATGTTCCACCAACAGTTGCTTAACCTTTTGAGAACGTCCTCATCACAAGCTGTTTTTGAACAGGGAGGCTCAGCTCCATATTACATATAAAGTGTGTTCATAGCATTCAGTCTTTAGTCTGCACCGCTTCCCATTTGCGTGAATCGATGTGTTTGCCTCTCGTGGATGCTGAAAGCCAGCGCTGCACAGTGACAACACTCTACTGAGACGACTCCATTAATCTGTCACTGATTGGCTGTGTGTTAATCCTCCTACGGCACTCATTGGACCAATTGTTTTTTAATCTTCAACCTGCTGTTTCATGTCAAAATGCTATGAAAGAGTCAGCTCTGTGGACTGGAGACGTTCAAAGCTCTGGACTCATCCAGGCCTACCCTTACCTGACGAATGCACAAACAAGGATTTGTTCGGGAAAGGCTACCAACGGGCAAATAGCACAGGACTCAGTCAGAAAAATAAAAAATATGTGATGGCATACGGTAAAAATATCCCATCCAGTTGTGTTGTGTCTGGCACAACAGAGGGAGATCATTCCAAACCATCTTGGTAACGAGAAGCCTCAACGGCGCTCCTTTGAGTTATCGTCATCAAAACTGCTCCACATCAGATAAAAGGTAGAGCTGGCGGACTAACAAGAACAGCGAGAGGGTCGAACGCATCCTTTCGGGACAAATAAAGCTCTCAGATTGGGGTGGTTCCTGGGCCTCATTCAAACACTTTTTTCTATTAGTTTTCATACCACAGCCAATGTTGTTCACTGGGACCATATGGGACCTTGTTCTGTCAGCATTATCAAAGTACAAAGAACAGCTCTCGTGGGATAGTATTGCTTTTATATGCTGTTTAGCACTGTGTGAAACTCTGTGTACATATTAAGACTAGAAAGAGAAAAAAGGAAAGCGCGATGGCTCCATTGGCCCCTGGTGACCATAACAGCTGGGCTTAGCGACCCATAAAGCACAGCAGGAGAGTCTCTATGGCACTTCTCGGCACAGATGCGACGTGTAATCGACCAATCAAATCGCTGAAATTCCTTGTATATGAGTCCAAAACCTTTCACGTGGAAAAGACTGTAAGATATGTTGTTATTGTCGGAGTGAAACCTTGTTGGTTCCAGTTAATCAGCCTCGTTTTTGACCCGATCTGCAAGGTTATTTTCAATCACGATTCTTCATACTGAAACGACATCAGCAGCAGTGTCATCGAGCTATTTAAGAACCAGCCGCGATGGAGACCTCCAGTTAAAACTCTTTAGACTTGTTTTAGATGTAATCTATATTTTACAGTCTGTACAGTTTTGTCAGGGTGCTGAGTGATGGCGAAATTTGTGAAGTGACCTTTCTTGCCCAAATGAATCATTAAATACTTAAAAAAATAAAACGGGATTGATCTTCGTCTCTGTTTCTGCTTTATTGCTCTGATCAGCACCTGGAGACAGCGAGCACACGTGGAAATGATGGCTACTGCAGGGTTACGCTTATGTTACTTCACAAGTAAAGCACTAGCTTTGTTGTTATTGTTTGGCTAAGTCACAAAACTGTTTGGTATTGAAATTGGATGATCTGATATCCTCGTGTTGGTGTTGTTCCCAGATCATCATGAAAATGTTGTTCCAAGTTCAACATTGCAAGTGACCAATCACATTATTGTGACGTTATTCTTTTGTGCACCAACCCATTCGTGCATTTATGAAATTCCAATGTTGCAAGGACAATATCAATTCTGCTTAGCGTTTATTAAAGGGTTAGGGTTAGGGTCCGTTGATCGGCAGACAGAGGCGTTTTCTCGCAGCTTAAGTTACAGTTTTTTGTTTTACGCTGGTTTTTCCCGAAGTCGCAAAAGTATGACATCACAACATTCTGATTGGTCACTTGCAATGTTGATCCTGGAACAACCTTTAGTATGATGATCTGGGAACAACACCAACACGAGGATATCAGATCGTGCATTGAAATTAATCTACGCATAAAGCGAGTCCTTAGATGTGAAACGCACAGCTTAAAAAGAGATAACACAACCTTCACCTTTGGCGACTCGAACTTTGTGGTTTTGCCCACAATTA